TGCATCAAAACAATATCGGTGAACGATTGCTCTTGCCTTCTCAATGAGTGTTGGGGACGAGCTTCAGTAAGAAGCTATGCGATGACTCCCCAAAAACTCACAGTATTTTGTCGAAGCCTAATAAAAAAATCGATAATTGATTTGATACGGGCTGAAATTCTTCCTAGAAGCCCTATGATCTGTAAATATTCATTCGACTTCCGAGCATATATTTTGTTAGAGGGCCGTCATTGTCCTGTTCGAACCTGTGAAAAGGGAAGGGCTCAGGGTAAAGTGAATTCTGCTCACAACCACCTCCCCCCAGACCTTCCAAGTTTTGGCCTCTGAGAGGTTGGGGGGGGGTCTGTGCAGAATGATGCCCCCTGTACGCCAGCGCTGATTTCCGTAGCCTTTATTCGCAATAGAAAGCGGTCAATTGTAGTCATATGCTTCGGAGCATTTTTTAAACCCGCAATTCCACGTGATATATTCGTGCTGAGTAAGAATCGGCTTTGACGCATAACCTTTATGACTTTATGCTCTTTGAAATATGCAGTGTTACTAAATCGTGCTCTGTATTCGTGTCGCAACTGCAGATATAGCAACTTACGTAACATCAGATACCATCACGAGCATCAAAAAGCACATGTTGTATCGATTTTTTCGCGACCGCCAACATGTGCATGTTTGAGCCCAGAATCCTTTTTGTCTTGTCATGGTCAATGTAGAGACCTGTTGAAATATTAAACAACTGATTGCGACCCTATCCAGTTTCGCAGTTTCTCACAGGCGCACGAAGGTTGCACAATTGTATAGTATTCGTACATAGTTGTATTCATTCGTAATATTCCCGTAGCTCGGAATTTGTGTGGATCGAGGAACCGTGCTCAATTGCAGCTGTGCATGCAATGTTTGTCCATTACTATTTCTTTCATCGCAGACCAACATAACCTTCCTTGGACGGCTTCACACCTCACACATCTCCCTTGTTACCAAATATGACACAATTCAAAGATATAAGTTTAAGGCGCAGGTGGTGAAGCCGTAGGTGGGCTACTTACCTTATACCTAGGAAGGGAACAACTCCTAGACCGTACGCCAATCAAATAGCCAAGCCTTTCATCCAGCCGGGGCGGGCTATGCATAAGACTATTTCAAAAACCTCTACGATCCTGAATAATATTAGATTGCGTTGCACTTTCCGGAAAGGGGCAAATCAACACCAAATGCTTTACCTTTTTGTCACAGGGAAGTCAAAATGTGAGTATTAGTACAACGTTGAAGAAAAGTAAATTTTGGCTACCATGTTTCATTAGCAAGGTTTGCTCCGAGAAGGCGTACTTCTCGAGATTTAGGCGAGGCGTACTTTCAATCATATTGCGGTTGTGCGCCCTAACTGTTGCTAATATTATATTTCAATCTAGTATTATTATCTAATGTCATCATAACCACGGAAGAAGTGGTGTAGTAGCGATGGCGCTCGCGCGGTCCGTGGATCGCATCCAGGGTCGTGCGTCTCCGGGCCAACTAATCTTTATTTCCATCTGGGGTCGGTGAATTGTACCAGGCTTGTCTAGGAGGATGAAAACAATTTTGTACATCGGCTGGTCGCCGCAAGTCACTGTATAGGCCACATCACATTAAAGTATCACCACGAATGTGCAAATGGAAGTAGAATGCATGTCGCATCGCAAAAAAGGATTGATCCAGCAAACGCTTCATCCTTTATCCTTTCATCATTGTAACCTAATATTATTGCATTTATTTTTACCAAGGTCATCAGGATCCCGTTGTTCCTCCAACGGAGCTTGTATGCTTCATTACAGCTATCACTGTGATGGCGCTGGGTGCGAAAGTCCATCCACAATTAGCGGAACTTATCATAGAATTTGCTGTCCATGATCCTTAATGTGCATTGTACGCAAGAAATGTCAGCGAAACGTTCACCCATCTTTAGTGTTCTTGAAATGGCTCGCATCAAGTTGCAAGGCGTACTGTCTTCGGGATGAATCACTTTCACAAACGGAAATGTCGCACCGCAGTACAGTGGCTTAATGCTGTAAACCGGAATTCTTGGACTTTGGACTGTGTCATAACGTATGCATATAGTAAGCATGTGCATATATGAATTGATTTACATATATTCGTCCAACTGACATTTCCTTTTTTGTTTTTGTTAGAGTCCAATCAAAAAAAAAACTGATTGAAATTGAAAATTCTGAAAAAAATTGTTGTGTCCTAAAAAGATCAACTAATTGAATTGAAGGTTGTAATAAAAATTAATATTTTAGAAAAATTGTAATCCCAACTTTTCTGTTCTCCTTTCACTGTTATGTACAAAGCGATAACACCTCAACCACCCAGTTCCAAGTCGTTCAAACTTACCGTCTTGGGGCCTATCCCAATGGGCGTTTGGCTAAGTTAGACTATGTACTTCTTTACGTATACATACGTAAAGATACGTGAAACTCCCTGGACTGACCCCCTCCCCTAATCCAATCCCTAAGCTGGTCAGTTGTTAAGGCTTCTCATTTTTCAATGTATTGTATTGGTTTCATCTAGAACGATTGTTGCTGTACAATTAGCCTTTTGGTTTGTAGACCTGAGGAAGGGCTTACGGCCCGAAACGTCGTCACATAAAGGTATTTGAAGAGTTTCATCTGCACATCAATTGCAAAGAAAGTATCTACTTCTTTGGTTTGTCCTTTATAAGTATTTGTAATTGTATTTATTACCGTAAACTCAAATGAACTTACTGTATCGGTCACTTACTGGCTGACCACAACAGTATCAGTGACTTGGCCTTGTGAATTTCAACAATATAGCGCAGTAGCGGTCAAAAGTATTCGCCAAAACGGTTTTCTGGTGCTTCTCTTTTTTGCCAGAAAAAAACCAGTGGTGGCCTTGGAATTTTTTTCGAACATCCTGAGTCTTCAAGACTTGAGGATGTAAAAGCACTGAAAAACATAGTTTATCAATCTTTGGAGGACGTTGCTAAAGCGAGAAAACGTAATGCGCTAAAAATTGTTTCAGCGAACAATTTTGACCGCTACTGTATGTTTTTCAAGGTGTTCTGGTCATCTTGATCCCAAAGGGACATTTGGCAGCCTATTACTGCTATCGGCTGAAGTACTGGATAAATTTCACTCCTTTTTTCTAGAAGGAAACTTTTTTGACATGGGTGAAGCTATGCATATACTTTTTATTAACATTTGTTTTTGTTTGTGTTGTCCTAGTTAAGCCTTGTGCACCTACAGCGTCATCGGATAAGATTTGGAGAATCCCTGTAAAAGGATAGGCTTATTTTTATCAGTGGCACAGGATAATTGGAGAAACGGAGCAGCCACGGTAATGGTGTTTGCCTTTTAAATGTTTTATTTATTTTAATGTTTTCACCTTTTAAACGTTCCAGTTCTTGTGATTAGTGCACAGCCATTTTTTCCCTCTGCAGATTTTTTTTTCGATTTCTGCGAGGTCGCAGACAAACATTGTCCCATTTCGCTACATTGAGTCCATTATCGCGTTCTACTTCTTTCCAACCTGTCGAAGATTCGTGATCAGCGTTTTTTGTTAATAGATTGCTAAAAGTGAAGAATCTTTTTCGCATCACCCGGAAGCATTGGGTGTTCCTTCTTCTGTACAGTTCCAGCGGGTCGTTCACTCACAGTCTAGTCCCAAGATGGCTCTGCCTATGTTGAGAATGAGCCCGAGGTAGAGTGCAAAGGTCCCTACATATGTAGCTTTTTCTTCAGACTACTAGTGTGCAGCTGAATGTATATGATGTGCAAGGTTCGCTAACAGTAAACGGAGACTAGGCCAAGCGAGAGATTTTGGATATTATTTGGACATTATTTTCTATCCCGTTAATCTATTTATTGATTTTTTCAATACGTCTCAAAAGTGGTACATCTCAAACGTTTTTACGTGCCGTTTCGCATTTAATTCCTGGAACAAAATTTTAATTAGAGATGACTACTGCGTGAATTTCGATGATTTTATGTGGTCGGAAAACCCACAATCTCCGATATATAACGCTTGCATATTTGTTTGAACATGGGGCTCGCATGCGGTTAAAAGCGATTATTAATGTTGCACGAGCTTGAGTTGAGTTCAGGACCGAACGCTGCTGCGGCTCACTCGCCCAATCAGTGTACAGTTGGAGCTATTACAGGACGGCTCTAAAGTTTGACCGAATAGGGATCCGGCACCAAAGAGCAAGAAACTGGCAAACAGCAAAAAATATTGGCCAACAAAGGGTTCCAGAAGAAGACGTAGTTTTTCATCATGTCTAAGTCCGGAACAAAAGAAAACAAAATGATGCGTATAAAAACGTGGAGAAGACTGCGGATTTTTGAATGATATCGAAATCGGCTAGTTAAAACAAAATTCGAAAAGTCTCCGGCCGAGATAAACGGCACAATTTTTTCTGTCAGTCAGGTAATATTTTAAAATGACACCTGGATACAGAGTGGGGTTTCTTACCTTTTGCTTCTAAGCGAAGAAAACCCAAGAAGCGAGGGTACTATGGCCAAGATAATAACGTAAAGCATTCGGCGCTGATCTGTCCCGTTTTGATATACGCCATGCCTTCTACTTTCATTCGGATCGTAGTGGCAATTTGATGCGATATGACCTATTCAATGAGTTGCGGGGCTAGCCTATGTACAAGCAGTTTTTCATGCTTCCAGACAAGTCTGGTGCCAATGAACCTACCCGAACAGATCGAGACTTGGTTGGCGCGGACGACGCACGAACTAGAGTTCGATCCCGGACTGCGCGCGTGGAAAGCAGCGCCACATGCCACTGCACCACCCCTGGTGTAGGATATAAGGGCTAAGATTTGTATGATCTAGTTTCCGATCGGGAAAAATTCATCTGAATAATGCATACCAAACTTGCCAAACATGTATTCCTGTTGTGGTTTGAACTCGTCTATCCTCCTTGCATCCATCGCAATGATCGTGTTGTGTTTTTTTTTCGTTACTATTTTTTTGAAATTTTAACACAATTTCAGATAAACGATGTCAGAACGACGTATCGACGTCAACCGTAGCAACTACTCGGTAATCGATAACGAATTTGGTAATATGCGAGATCGCTTCGAACAGGAAATGCGCCGTGTTGAAGATGAAATGAAACGTCTTCGTTCCGAATTTGAAGGTATAAATTTTCCATTAGGCGATTCCCTATTTGTAGAGAAATGTTCGGCTTGTTATGAGGTGCGAGGTGGAAAAGTCGATATGCCAAGAGCAGTCTCCACGAAAACACCTAAGGGCAAGTCCGCAACAGCCGCAATTCGCATTTCCACGCTGTGTTTTGGATTTTTCAAATCCTTATTCTTCAATTTTGATTTCACTGATTAGGCTTCAATGCATAGTCCAGCTTTCTGCTAAAATTCGCCGAAAATCTTCTTTAATTGCTATAAAAATTATTAAGGAATTAATACTATACTCATAAGCCTTGGTCTTTCACGTAATCCTTGAAAAATTCTGAACTAGATGGTTATAATTATTTATTAGTCTGGATTGTTTGGTTATAACGGCTTTATTATCTCACACGTCGATTAGAGTGGTGCTCTTCCAATTTTGCATTCAGCGCTCTTTGCAGCAAAACTCTTTCTACACCCCGCATTTTTTTCAACCCTAAAGTGCTTGCGGAGGATCTCATTAGTAGCATTCTATCATTCATTATCTAGTCGTGTATAATATCTAAATAACCTAGTAACTCAACAAACATAATAGATTAATTTGGAAGGAAGTTTCTACGATTTTAGATAATCTAATTTCAATCAGAAAATTACCTTTAACTTTCCTGAGTTAACTTTTCGTTTTGAAGCGTATTTTTTTGTTACGTCTTCATGTAATTTATTAAATGAATAGCTTTTCTATTCCTCCAATTTGAACCTAACGGGCTTGAAATAAGTTCACACGATTCTTGAGTACTGGTTAAAAACAAAATTCATTATTTCTGGACGATCTTGAGTTCTTCGCGAGAAATATGGAGTGAAACGCAAGCGCGGAGCACGGACAGGGCTGGGGCAGGGTCGGTCCTACGGTTGCGACTTTTCCGGAATTTTTTTACGATCCCTCTCTACCAATCAAAAAATCAAAAATTTTACGCCCCCCCCCCTTCAACCCTCGCCATCATGGTCGCCGTTTCCATAGTATTTAATTCTGAGACCAGCCGACACACCAAACTCCACCCACAGTTCCCTCCAAAACGAGCAGGGGGAGGGGGTATATACTACACTGAAACGCAAAAATTATTCTCGCTTCTTTACACTACACGCCCCCTCCCCCTGCTGTACTTGTCGCAACATAGGATGGACCCTGGCTGGGCGTAAGGTCCAAGGATTCATTATATGCTCCGCCTATTACCACACCCCGCCCACAAATCATTACTGTTTCGCTTTGCCACTTTTAGAAAGGGGGCTTTATTTTCGTCTTTGTCAACGGCTTCTTCTCGTATTTTTCATTACTGGCATTGGCTTCACATCGCCACTGTCACTTACATGCGCAATAACACACAATTTGATCCCGAACTTTGCCTAGGTTGGAAAAAAGGAACTTGCGATATGAGCGATGCGTTTGGGCTTGGGACCACTAATGAAAGTTCTGCACAGTGGTGATATAAAAGATTCGCAGCGTTGACGCGTGCTCTCAAAAGAGTGGGCGTAGTAGGGGGCCGTTGAATGTTGACAACAACAATTCGAGAGTTTCAATCGAAGGAAGCCCGTATAGAATTGTTTGGAGCTTGCCTCTGAATCGGGCTAAATGTGTTGGATCCAGAGGAGGTTGTAAAGCGGAAGGTCAATTATTGAGGGCTGCAAACATTGTTGTTTTGAAGCGCCGCTTGCCGTTTTTCTGTGCAGCAAGAATGACTTCCGCTTCTCGACCAGGTTTTGGCGTGCGATGCAGTGTGGATTTCTTGCGAGAATCGATTTAGCTCTGCGCTTATCCAGTCAAGCTATACGACATTAGAAAAGCGAAATTGCCCAGAAGGAAGGTCATGCTGTCTGCCTGATGGTCTTCGTCTGGTCTATCAATAAGCCCAGATCTCAACTCGGTTGAAAATAAGCGCTAATTACTATAAGAAATTGACGAAATGCTGCGGTAACTGCGATAGATTTATTTGACATCAGGGGAGCGAAAGGGACCATTCCACGAAACAGCTCGGTCATATAACATAATCAAGCCTTGCGAATGTTCAACAAGAATGCAGGGTTGTGAACAAAAGTTTTGCTCCAGACGGGACTCGTACCCGCACCTCTTCATGGTGTACTTACCATAGCTGTAGTACTATTGCTATTATAATACCATACTATTCATAGGTGTACTTACCATAAAGAGCTGAGTTGCGATGAAATGGTGCCCGGTAGCGTAAGTTGTAGCGCACTTGCACGTTAAGCAAGAGGTGCGGGTTCGAGCCCCGTCTAGGGCGAAAGTTTTGTTCACAATCTCCCACTCACTTTCTTGTGAAACATTTGCATAGCGAACTGCGGCCAAAAACAGCACTTAAAGTAACAGTCCAGGCAGGGTTTCAACTACTTGGTCATTAGGCGGTCAAAACATGCCCCAGCCCAACTAAAGTTTATAGAAAATGTCTTTAATTCCAAAACCTACCTCTAAAATGCGCTGGAAGGGGTCGAAGTCCTCTTGGAGGGGGCGGATCACCCATAAAGAGGCGGATCGTCCAACATACGCTGTGCAGAGTCTGCGCTTGACTAGCGATCGTTGCGGGACCGCCGCGCTGTATGAGGTCGATTCCATAAGAACGCAATTGAAGCGCTTCAATTTCGATTGCTGGCAAGTAGTTATGTATTTGCAAGCATGCAGCTATTTGCCAGCAGTTGCAATTAAAGCGCATGTACTACGGGCAGGTTCGGACAACTCGTCCAACACACGCCTCCGTAAACGGCAGGGCATGTCCCTGTCTAAGCCCCAGTTGGGCGTTTTCTTCACTTTTTCTCTTTACGTTCGACCACTTTTCACCTACAACTTCCATATAGGTGCTTTTGGCCCGCAAATTCGTTCCTGGACTGTTGCTTTAACAAACAAAACAAGTCAAAATAATCAAGCCTATTGAACATGTTGGGCTGCGAAGATGTGCTGCGCACACCCTACTCATCTCGGCACTTTTCAAAATTTACTAGTTTCCTTATAAATGAGTGCTTAAGAACCAATGAAACGATGTTTCCATCGCCTTTAGCATTCTAATTTTTTTATGGAATCGGTGAAAAAAAAACCTACCATTTGTAACCGAAGTGGGCCAATTGTAAATGTTCCTATTATTTCGGTTGATGAAGTTTTGTTCATAATAGTATGTGGACATTTCGAAATTACAATAACTTTTTTATAGTTACGTTAATTTAGACGCTATCGTATTTTAGAGGACTTTACGTGGAAGTGCACGAGAAATTGCATAAAAAATTTCCTTTTTGTCAAAAATGTGCATCAGCCTTAGGCGAGGGATGAGAGACTCCAGGTTGCGTGAGTAATTTTCGTTTTCCCCGAGCTTTCTGTCTCCTTCTAGGCCCAGTATTTGAGGGTTTCCCCCTATATTGCAATGGCCCTTTATTTATTGATTATTTACTTATTCATATTTATATATTTGTATTCACGGTTCACCTTCTACTCCGCATTTATCATGTTCTCATATGACTCCTTTTTCAGGCTACAGACCAGGAACCACTCCTAGATCAGCCATATCTAACCAGGCTTTTGATTCGTCACTCTCCACTCCAGCTCGTCGTCAAGAAGGTTTTGGAGCTCCTCCTTCTTCATTTGGTACTATCGAGATGTTATTGCTCGTTAGATACTGTTGCTTAATCGAAGCTTTTTGGGGTCCCTTTATAAAGTTTTCACTTTCATTTTCAACTAGGGCGTTTTTAGGTCACACTGATTTGATGTCACGTCCTACATACGATCCTTATTTGGATAACCTCAAAAGTCCTCTGATCAAAGACGAAAGTGATGGTAAAACTCTACGGCTCAGGTGATCCATTTTTTTGAATTGTATTGCATCGATTTTTTCGAGAAGTGTTCGATGTTCGAGTAATTCAATTTGTTATAGGTTCGATGTGGCTCAGTACAAACCAGAGGAGGTGACTGTGAAAACCATCGACAATCGCCTTCTTGTTCATGCTAAACACGAGGAGAAGACACCACAACGCACTGTGTATAGGGAATATAATCAGGTAAGAGTTCAATCTTCCACATTTTAAGTGAATGGAAATGAAATGGCAACTGAAAACTTCGAATACTTGATGGAACTTTCAATTAGTGTTTACCTTCACCGTTCTGAACTTTTTTGTCCAAGTGCCTTTCTGCTTTCTTTATGTGACCTGCTACTCTGTGTGTTATGCTACCTTTGTGTTATGTTAAAACCCCATCGCTTACTATGGACAGGGTACAATTACTGGCTGGACTTGACTTACCTCAATCACAATTTGTTTCATAGCTTTGTTGCCTACTCTCACTAACTGTCAACTCCTCTACCTTCTTTGGAAGCTGAGAGTTTTAAGCAGCTTGAGAATCGCTTGAGGGTCTGTCGGCGACTCGTCGAGAATTGTTGCCTGTTTGGTTACCCTCTCGCTAACATTTATTCTCGACACGCGCGAGCCGTCTATGCTCTCCACGCATACGTTTACTCTCGACACTATTCTCACACCGTGTAGAGTCGGGGACTTCCTCCACCGTTATTCACCCTGGTTTCCACTAATTAATTGTTACAGTGAGGTGTTGCGCTTACCTATTTCCTCTGTCACAAATGTTGAGTTTCTTGAGCCGGCGCAGGCGGCTCTGTTGCTCTGTCAGCTGCCGCAAGCACATCACTGGAAAGTGAACGCGCTCACGTCGCAGGTCGTGCTGTTGCGAGTGGTAGCTTCATCGCAACAATGTTTCCATGTGTCTCAGACATCACAGAAGGTGTTAAATCCACATAACGATTTCCTGCACAATTTTTTAAAGGCAGTGAATCGTTGGCCAGAGGGTGAATGTTTTGACAACGTCATTAGACTTCATTTTTGGACCCGATCCCTTAGAGCGCTACAATGACGCCCAGTGATGTTCAAAACCGCCATCGTGTTCATACACTGCCTTCAAGAGAATTCGAAGTTGTTCCATTATCTCTGTCTGTCCCTCCCTTTCCTGAGAATCTGGTACTCCTAGGTCTTTTGTTAGTGCTCCTCTTTGTGATATACCATCTGGAAAGATCACTAGAGGAGGGGTAAGGGTGTTGCCGGTAGACCTCAGTGCAACGAGAGGTGTTTCTTATCGTTAGTTACGGCCGCAGCATCATAATGGACCATTAGGAAATGGGATAATGATAAGCCTTGCGGAAGTTTTGTTGGCTCGTCTGATGCAGTGCACATTCTGAAGGCAACACACTACGCTGCCTAACCCCTTCCCCCGCTTTTGTAAGGTACCTCCAGAAGGATGGTTACAAAAATTCAGTGGAGTGCTTGGCGTATCAAGATGAATTGATCAATGCAGCTCTTCTATTCCTTATCCTTTCATGTTCCTAAAGGAGAAATGAAGTTTACAATTTTCTATGATTTTTTGAGAAGACATACTCCCATCCTCTGATACGCGCTCCAATCGTGAGCACTAGAGGCACAGCCAAGGCAGAAATAGTGTGAAGGATTTTCTTCGCTGTGTAGGACAAACGCCTAGAGGACGACACTCCCGTGCATGGAGCCCATCAAGGGTGCCTAGGTCTTGCAAAGCAGCTGTAGCAGCTGCAATGGTCCCTTTCTGTAGCTTACTGTTGTCAGGCGTCTGCTCACATCAGGGCTATCTCGCAGCATACTCTCCCCTATGCGCTCAGTCTCTTAGTCCCCTAGCAGGGTAAATATCGGTCGAGGAATTTCTCGACCATCGCCCTCTGCTGTGCCAGAGGAGAGCCGATAGTGAATGTACGCGCGGAGAGCACAGACGGCTCGCGAGTAGCGACAGTAAATATCCGCGCGTGAGAACGTGAAGGATCAGGCGAAAATCCTCGACGTGCCGTTGAGGGACCCTCAAGCAATATTCACCCTGTCTTCTAGCACAGCTGGATCTACGAACTAATTGAGTCGTCAGCTTTAGTGTTTTCGATGTATCCTTTCCCTTTTCATCCACTGCCGGCCCCATTTCGCCGCAGTAATCTCTTTGAATGCAAAATTACTCTCATTTGATTCTAGGGCATGCTTTAGGGTATATTATTGAGATTGGAGCCATCGCGAAAAAAAAAACTAAAAAAGTCTGCCCTCGAAACAATTGTCAAGCTCTCCAATTGGTAATGAGCGGGAATCGGAACATGTTCACTTTTCAAGGTCTCGATTCCGCTACACTACCTTACCTTTAACCATACTTGCAGAGTTGAAGCCTGATCTTGATTTTTTTTTGGAGGATGCGCCTTCTCTTGCAAGTCCATGTGTAATTTTTTGGCATTTGATGGCCAGCTATGAGCAGCTATGAGCTTTCCTTATACCAAGTGACTCCGAACCAATTCACCTATTCCAAAATAACGGACTAGATAGATGCTGCCGTGAAATTCGTCGAGGGCCATGATTTTTGAATAAGGTGGCTGCCGGGGAGCTTTCGGCACTGCTGTCCTCCTACGACTTGCATCTAAACTTTTCGTTTAGACCGAAAGTGTGAAAAATGCAAACGTAGATCATAGAGACCTCTGTCAGGGAGGAAAGGGAGATGGGGGAGGGGAGGGGGGGGGGAGAATGTACCGCAGCTTCTTGTCAATGCCATCGCACAGTCAAACGCAGACAATCGTATCGGCAGTCGAAGACAGAAAGATCACCACATAAGCTTACCAGCCAGCCCAATTCTCAACGACAGCACTCGACCCGCACGGGGTGCGGCCTATGGTAGCGCATTGCGGTCGTGTGAACGCCTGACTAGACACTTTCCCGTTTGTTTGAACCTCGGTGCAGTGACATACCAACTCCACGCAACGTGGCTGCGTAAACACGAAATAACGTCATACGGTGGAGAAATACCAGCGGGTTCCGCTCACAGTCTGGCCTTCGGTGCGATATTTGTACAGAGGTCGAGTTCGAAAGCACTTGCTTCGGGGAAAGCTCAAATGGACCGAAGGGTATGGGAAGTTCGTGCAACAAAGGATGTGATGTGAAAAATGTTGGTAATCTCTGGCGGATCCTATGTAGCACATATTCTTCCTATCAATGCTGTATGTATGAGCAGCCTTGTCAAGAGCGAATTGAACGATGAATCCACTGAGGAAGGCCGTCGATGCATAAGTACGAACTACAACGACATTTATTGTTAAGGATGTTCTCATTTAAAGCCACGTAATGTTTAGTGAAGAGCCGGCCCCTCTTAGAGGTGAAATAGGGGTCCCCAAGCGCAGGAAGCGCGACGTATTGCGACTAAAAAGTGTGAGGCAACAGCGCTAAGGCCTTGCCTTGTGTGCTGCAGTGCTGCCAACCTTATCAATCGCGGCATATATGGCGTTTGCGCCCTCTCGCGTACGACGTACTCTCTTGCACTTTCCCTCTCCTCGCAGCGTTATGTCTCTTCGTTATATCACGGACGGCTTCCCAAGTAAAATTTCAGTGTTTTTTTATGATGTTGCTTTGCTTTTCCTCCCACTAACGTTTTTCATCGCTCTTGTTGTCTAATTCAATTACTTGGTCTAACAAAATAACACAGATTCGATCCCGATCCATGCCCTCAAGGGTTGCCTACACAGTTAAGATTGGTATTACACTAGTACATCGTGATGATGTGAGGGCAGTTTAAAGGTAGAGGACTTGATGATGCCAAACACAACTTCCTGGTCTCCGTACGAATAGTTAAGTCGCGTCGGAGCATTCTCAGGTCACAAGGGAACGGTCTGCTGTAGGTTTTTATGAATTCAAAATTACCAAGCGATTTTTTCTGATTTGATCGGAGCAGCATCTCACAAGGGAGTCTTTTAGGACATGGAGCGCTTTTTCGAAATGGTTTTCTGCATGTTGTAGTGGCTCATGCGAAAAACACAGAACCGTGGTTTAGTTTTCCTGAACGGCCCCAGGGATGTCAATCCATCCAATGGCGGACAAATGGTCCAGCTCGATCCCCGGTGATAACTACTTTTTGCAACATGCAAGATTGCCAATGGCGCCATCGTCGATAATGGATGTCATTGTCGCGTTCTGCAGCAAATCGGGGAGCCAACACAAATTGCAAAAATTTGTCATCACGGAGGATCAAACTTTGGACTAGTTCTTCCCCGCTGTTTTGACGTCCCTGAAGGGCTCGGGAAAAATGGATGGTTCTGTGTTCTTCACATGAGCCTCCACAACATTCGGAAAACATTCGAAAAAACGCTAAATGTCTTGAAAAACTCCCTTGTCAGAGATTAACTTTCTCACAAATTTCTGTTAAAGCTGCAAAAAGATGCACTTACTAGTTGTGTGAGTAGGTTTGGGGCCAGATGTTCACGAACCTTTTTCTTCTCACGTATTGACATCAATTTTTCGCACCCCAAACTCACTAATTTTCATATTAACTATTATTTAAAATATGTTCCGGAGAACCATCAGAGCTACGCTTTTCAAAAATTCAAACATTCTGTTTGAATCGCTTTAGGCAGACTGTAGTATAGTGGGATTTTGCAAAAGATTTCTCAACAAAACTGATCCTCTTGAAATTTCAGCTCCAATTCTTCTAAAATTCGCAAAATTAGAAAAGGCGCCATCTCTCAGAAATATAAGTTTCACTCCGCTAAGCTCACTCGTGTACGCTTTTCCGCGATTTGAATTTTGGCAAATTTTCGATATTTTAGCAAATTAATTTTATGAACTATATAAAACTGCAGGGTGGTATGTTTGCTTGTTTGTTTTTCTGTCTGTCTCTTTGCCTGCCTGTCTGTCAGTCATTCTGTCTGACTGCCTGTCTCTCTGTCCATCTGTCTGTCTGTCTGTCTACCTGTCTGTCTCTCTGTGCATCTGTGACGGAATTCGGCACTGCTTGGAGCTTCACCTTGGAAACTTCACCGAACTGCAAAAAAATTTCACCTAGTCTCGGCTGCGCTGGGTAGTTACAATTTTTATTCATTTCTAGTTCACTATTACAACAAGCTTATCATTACGACAGGTAGTTCCGAACACACTTAGTTGGCATCAATGTCTCGGATCCCTTTAGCCTTTCTATGAAAGGACACGAAGCATGTAAGCAGGAAGTTTAGGAGAAGCCTTTGAAGGTGGAATTTTCGAGAAACATT